AAGCTTGTTTCATATATTAAAAAATCGCGTTTCTTTAGTTGTTTCATCAGAACCGTTTTTTCTGCATTGTTTCTTGGCAAACCTTTTTTTTTTTTTTTAGATATTTTTTATCTACGATACCTACCTCTTACAACAAGAAAAAAATAAGAAATTTCTATGGATACAAACAAAATTACAATAGTTAATAAGTTACAAAGTAACATTTGAAAATAAATGTCCTCCGACATATCCGGCAATATCCCGGCAGAAAGTGGACCAAACAGCGAGAAATTTGGATGGACGTCTTTAAACAGAATGACATTAACAACACATTATGCACACAACTTAAACAAAACTTAATGACACTTTTATGGAAGTAAGTCAGTAAGTCAGCTGCCTTTTTAATCTACACAGTGGCATTGAGCCAAAGCCGCTGTAACTTCTCCGAAATAAAGGATTTTCGGTTCCAAAAAATTTCGCACCAAACTAAAAATGAATTCCCCTGTATTTAAATTTATATGTATATACGTAGTGACGTATATACGTAACGTAGATAATAATGGTAGTTTGGCAGTTGCTTTATACCTTCTACGTACTCGTAAAACAGTTCATTTCTAGTGCTGCGTGGACCTTTGGTAACTGTCCATTGTTTTCTTGCCGTTATAGTCCCCTAAAAGTTGATAATAGACATAACGGAGCCGCTGGTTTAACTAACTTTTTCTGCGTGTTCTGTGTGTTGGTTGAAGTATTGATAATAGAACGATTAGGTGTGGCGAGTTGCTGCTTTATTCTCATCATCATTATAAGTTTTATATGGTTTTTGGTTCCCCTTGCTCTAGTCGCTTTTACGTGTTGTAGGGGTATATATTTTTGATTAGATCAAAGTGAATTGTGAAAGTTTACGTTATGTTATTGAATACTTCGTTGACTTCTAATAAGAGAGATCATTCCGCTTTTATTTCAAAAATTTCTTGCTACAAAATCTTCAGAAAAAATTTTTGTTGTTTCCGTTTGTTGAGTGTCGCGTAGCTTTGGACGCCGTAATACTATAATTTAAATAAGAATACCGAAGAAGAGGCTCTGTAAGAAATTTGGGAAGTATGGGGAATTGAAAATATTGATGGCACTTTATACAGCACTTTACTTCTTTATAGTCCTCCTTTTCTATTTTATGTACCAGTACTGAAGCGAACAAAATGTGTCTGGCATATTTCAGACGCTATTTAGAGAGCCATTGGATATCTCATTAGTAGACTGGCGTTTTTTTTGCTGCATCTAATTTTTTAAGAGGTTTCTATTTTAGAATTTCTGTAAGATTATGAGTGCGGTTTAGAGTATATATACAGTTGCGTCTATTATAAAATTTTCTTTCATATAATCATTTTAAAGAAGAGTTTTGTTTAGTATGTCGAATACAACTGAACAGGAAGGAGCAGAGAAGGAGGATTTAAGCTCCTCAAAGAGTGAATCGGATGTTCCCACTTTATCGTCATCGCCTGGAAGGACATATTCCGGACAAGAGAAGTATAGTTATTTCAACTTTATTGAACTATTTTGGGATTACTTTTGAAGTTTTCTCAGCAGATTTTAATTATCCAGCTTTCTGTGAAAAGAATCTTCATTTATCTGCAATGTATTTTCTAGTGTACAGATTTTAATAAATTTTTGCTCTTCTGTTTATTGGCGCTGTGGTGTGATGAGCAAGGTCTTATTTTTTTGCTTTCTTGGGTAGCTTTTGATCTATTTGGTTAAATAAGAATTTGGAATAAACAAAGACTTGCAAAAAACTTTTAAGGATTTATAGGTTTTTCAGTGGGATAAGGATTTTTTGCAGTGATGTATGGAAATGAGTATTCGGGAAGTCCCAATTTTTTTGATTTTTTAATAAGTAATTTGGTTCTTTGTTTGTAACTGGAGAGTAATGGTAACGTACATCTTTCTGGACAGACATATAGTAACCAAGACAGGGAAGAAATGTGAAACTTTCGGTTCTCAAGACCCAACTGCAAAGAAATTTTTTATTTTTTTTGACTCAAAGCAATGTCTAAAGGTTTTTATTTACTTATCACACCATTTTTTCTATGCACTAGAACTGTAACAAAAATGTGTGTGAAAGATTACCCCTTAATAATTGCTTTTTTAAAATATGGAATGAGAGCAAAAAGATTCTTTGAAGGCTATTTAAAGATAAAAAAACGACATACTCAAGAGCTTTTTGCATAAGAAGAGCAGAAAAACTGCGATATGGAAAGTGTTTCATTTTAAAGTGTTTGGAATAAGATATTGCCATTAAAAGCTTAGAAATTTTATGATTTTCTAAAATAGCGGTATGGTAATGTTTTGGGAGTTTTGTAATGCAGTTTTTCATATAAGGTGATCTAGAAAAAATCTAGAAAAATACATTTTTTTTAAAATAACTTTCCTGTAGCTTTTATTCTGTTAACCAGCTTCTGCAAGGACTATGCTCTCAAAAGATTTTTTAGAATGTCCTCAAAAGTAGCGGATCATTATAACGCCATTCCAGATATTGGTGTTACTGAAAGGCTTAACAGCAGAATTTTGTATCTGAGAAATTTTAACAACTGGATCAAGAGCATGCTGATAAGTTTGTTATGTTCAGTTGAATACTGCTATGAAGCTAGTATGTTAATTATGTTACTTTTTTTGATTTTATCTTGCTTACAGATGAATTTTTGAAGACTTTGAAGCAGTCTGGTTGTAGTCGTCCCAAAGTGTTGGATTTGTGTTGTGGTAAGGGAGGGGATCTATTGAAATGGCGAAACGGCAACATATCATATCTTGTTGCAACTGGTAAGATGTTAGATGGTTTGCTTATTTACGTTTTGGTAAAGTTCGTTGCCTTTTACTGGTATTTTACGAGTCAGATTCTTGGGGGTGATGTTCCTGAATTTCTTTCAAAGTGACTTCGACTACAGAGTTGTTTAGATATAGCAGAAGTGTCTTTACGACAGTGTGAAAGGCGATATAATGAACTGAAGGAGAAGTCTGACAAGAAACGTCCTTTATTTGGTGCAGAATTTATACGGGCAGATTCGACAACGGTCATTTATCTTGAATGACTTTAATTCCTGTGTATAGCTCGTTCTGGAAAAATACGAACCTTTTCATTATTAATTATGTGTTGCACTGTACATTACCAAGACTGTACCGAATGCATTTGGATGGGTTGTAACATTTAGCTTTTTTCCAGGATCGGATTGCTGATTATTTTACTGACCCAAACATTCAGTTTGATTTGACAAGTTGCCAGTTCTCATTTCACTACTCGTTTGAGAGTGAGCGTCAAGCGAGGCAAATGATTAGAAATGCGGTTGAAAAGTTACGTTCGGGCGGTTACTTTATTGGCACACTTCCGGATGCAAATAGAATTATGTTGGTTTTAACTTCGGAAATTTTTTGAGCTAAGAATAATTAAAATATTCTTTGTTTAACCGCGTTTGATTTTTGGGTACTGTATTCGCAAAAACGATTCGGCTATCTATGAAAATGAAGTGCTTCGGCTGGAATATGTAGACAAGGAAGGCTTAAAAGCAGATAACTACAAGCCTCCAATTTTTGGTACTTCGTTCCACTTCTCATTGGACACCCAGGTTCTTTTTTGTTATGTATCTTGAATCATTTGAAGGGAAGGTATTGTCGCTGGAAGTTTTATTCTCCTATTTTGCGTTTTATTTTATATATTCTACTAGAGCTTTCAAAAATTAAAGCTATGTATAGGCTGTTCCAAGCCAAATTAGCCGCTTTCTTCAGTTTCCGAGATATTCCTAAATTTTGCTTGATAACAAGGTTCGTGTTTTTGTATGCGAAACCAGAGAGATTACCTCATCTTTCGCCTTTACTGCAAATTGCTGCCTGCTTAATTTTGAGGGAGATAGTGCTTTTTTGGCCGTATTTGGCCTACTTTAAAGATTGTAACGTATTCTGTTATCAGCTGAATTAAATACTTGGAGTAATTTTAAATTTCAAAATAGCAAAAAGTCTTCTTTTGAAGATTAACCAAAAAGTGCTGCACCTTTGATTTTTCTCAAAGACAATATTTCACGAGGAATTTTGTTTTTACGAGAAACAGTAAAGTCTGAGGTGGAGCATTGATGGACGAGTGAATTATGGAAAGAAAAGTGGGCTAAGGTCGTGAAAATTACGCTAAAATTCTCCGTTCTTCTAGTCTCGCTTTCAAATTAACAGCTAGGTACTTCGAGCAACATTAAGACTGACTCTTCCGGAATACAATGACCTGAGGTGGGCGATTTGGTTTTTAAACTGCATGGAAGCAGAGGTTCTTTATTTTATTGCGTTTCCACAACCTCAGCTCACTTTCCTTTTCATGACTCATCTGTTCATCAGTGCCCCATTAGGGGATTTATGGTATCTTAAAGGTAAAGAAATAGAGGTTATACATTTCTGGGGAAAGAAATCAAAAGCCTATCATTTTTTTTAAAATCAAAGATTTTTCAAGGTGGAGGCTTTTTATTACTTCTGTAATTCATGAAGTAAAGTTGGATTTTCAGAAAGGTCTTGAAAGGAGATCTTATGCTTTTTCAAAAACTTTGAAAGCATTCAACTTAGTACAAAATGAAAAAAGTTACAACCTTTCAAATTTGGTTGTCTACAACTAAAAAGTGCACTTTTGCTATTCTGAAAGGTTGTCAGTTTCCACTGGTAGGAGTTATTCAGATAGCTCCTTTGGCCTCTCGAAAGAGAGCAAACGCTGTTATTCAATAAAATTCAAAAAAATTTAGTATGTCGACAGAAAAGTTGCTTGATTTGAAATGGAATACCTCATGTGTACATTCACAACAGCGCCATCTTTCGTATGCATTTCCTGTTTTTTTTTTTTTTTTTTAGGTGAACTGTCCGGAATACCTCGTTCATTTCCCAGTCTTAGAAAAGTGCGTTGATTTTTTTCATAATTTTTATATGCTATTATTATTTTGATTATTTTACCATAACTTGTTAATCAATCGTCGATTTTTTTTCCTAAAGCATCAGAGTGTTTTATTTTCAAATCCAAATTTCGTTCAAGTTATATTGAAATGCTTTTTAGTTTTTCCTTTTCTGCTTCAAACGCCTTGCTTTTGGTGAACGATAATTCAGTTGCTTTTGTTGAAGCTCAGCATTTAGACTCCTTGATGAGTGTGGCATGAGCTTAGTTTATAAGAAACCCTTTCCTGAGGCCTTTGAATATTTCAAGGAGGATAACATGGGGAAAGCGCTTTTGCAAAAGATGAAAGCTCTTGAAACTTATCCTCCTTCCGATGGAACAAAGTAATCTTTGGTTCTGGCAATTTTAAGAGATTAATACAAACATTTAATTCTTTTGTTTTCTAATTGTGGAAAGCTAAAGCTACAGTCTGCATATTTAGCTCTTTGGGAACACCTGGTGAATATTCATTTGTGAGAGAAAAGTTTAAAGAGCCGTTTAAGAATGCTGATGGTTCACAAGTTGAAACTTTTGTAAGTTTTATTTATTCAATTAAGAATATGAACTTACATTCTACTTTGTCTTCTTACTTCTTATAGTTGAAATTAAACTCACATGGTTTACACAACCTTTAATTTCAGGGAACTCTTTCCAAATCAGAATGGGAAGTAGTAGCCATGTATCTGGTGTTTGCATTCCAAAAAAGATGATAACACTTCCAAGATCATTTCAAAACCTGCCGTGCAAGGACGTACTTCATTTTACTTTCCTTTTTGAATTGAAGTTGCATTGTTACTCTTTTGTTTTGTTTGTATGCAGTTGATCCTCCACCTCTTTTTTT